CTCTCTCTCTCTCTCTTCCTTCTTCTCTGAAATCAATAAAACAAAACAAAACAAAACAACACACACGCCATCACCCAGCCAGTGTGGCTCAGTGGTTGAATATCGCCCTATGAACCAGGAGGTTCAAGGTTCAATTCCCGGTCAGGGCACATGCCTGGGTTGTGGGTTTGATCCCAGCATGGAGTGTGCAGGAGGCAGCCAATCAATGAGTCTCTCTCATCAGTGATGTTTCTATTTCTCTCCCCCTCTCCCTTCCTCTCTGAAATCAATAAAAAAACAAACAAAACAAAAAACACACCATCATATTTAGAGATTTCTTTTTTTTTTTTTAACAAAGATTTCTGAGGCATTTAAGAAGATATTTCTGATGATCTAAAACACCAGTATAAAGGCCATTTAATGTGTTCAGCAATTCATTTAAGAGCCGTTAAGGGAGTTTGTCAACATACCGTCTGCTTCGCTATCTGCATCAGTCACATCTGCTAGTTTAGGATGGGATGGCTGCAAACTACGCCTCTGAGGCTGAGTTACAATCTTCGATGGAACACAGGCCATGGGGTTGCTACTGAGAGAAGCTGATGGCAGTCTAGACAGGCTGTTATGCATCATCTTTGACCTCTGCACTGCCACACTGTAATCTGGAGGTTTTAGGTGTAGGTGGGGTCCTTCCTTTAGGTCCGCTAAAGAAATCCCCATGTATCCTGGAGGAGTAGGAGGTGGCTCCCTATACCTATCCTCCTTCTTGGGTGAGGTGACACAGTACACTGGCATGAAAAATAAGCAATGGACACGTTAATGAAAAATATAAGAAATTAAAAAAACATACTGAAACTTATTACAATGACAAAACAACTTAAAAACAGACAAAATGAATATGTATATTTGAATACAGTGATAGCAGATTAAAAACATTTTTAAAAAGCTTAATAAATGTAATATTTAAACTTGTTTTTAAAATATGTAAATTACATTAGGTTTTATAAACATTAAATAGAATGACAGAGATGACAGATAATAGATTCCTTTGGCAGTTCAGCCCTCAAACCACAGAAGTGTGTGACAAACTCCTCAAGGAATAGTAACCCCAAAGATGACTGAGTCAGAAACATTTTAAGAGTCCACCCTAAATATCTAGATGGACTTTCACAGAAATCACTTTTGGGCCCTTTTTTTAAGGGTGCTCTCCCTCTCCGTCTGTTTTATGGTACTCCTGGGTAGACTAAGTTGTCGGTTCTGGCATATGAACAACTTTAACTTTCTTGGTATAGAGGAGCTAACTCCTTTAAGGGCCTTAGTCTAACTTTTGCTCTGTGATTAAGTGAACAAGAAAACACACACATAATTTTAGGAAATCCATCTTAAATTAAGTTTCTCTGATTTTCAGTGGACGTTATAAATAATGGTGACTTAAAATTCTTTTCCCTAAGTTTATAAACCCTGGGACTAAGGTAAACAGAAATACGTTACACAGAGTGGAAGTTCCATGAAATTAAGACCAGCCTACAGACAGAACCCACAGAACAAAAGGCTCTGAAT